TATCTTTTGAATCAAGAGGCTCAGTGGTCACAATCTGACAAAACAACATCTTTGATTCTAGAAATCTTAATCTTGATTCTATTAATCTTAATGTTAGATTCTAAACTGTGGTTTGACTATAAACATTTTAAATTTTAAGAACCTCTAGAAATGTCATGTTTGGGCCAAACCAAGTTTGATTCTCATACTTCAGAGTACACAGAATCACCTGGGCAGCTTGCCCCAAATAGATGGCCCAACCATCTATTGGGCTCACCCCCAAACCTACAGATGAAATCAAAACCTGATTGGTTGGGCACGGTGGCTCACACCTGTAATCCCAGCACTTTGGGAGGCCGAGGTGGGCGGATCACTTAAGATCAGGAGTTCGAGACCAGCCTGGCCAACATGGTGAAACCCCCGTTGTTACTAAAAATACAAACAATAGCCTGGTGTGGTGGTGCATGCCTGTAATCCTAGCTACTCAGGAGGCTGAGGCATGAGATTCACTTGAGCCTGGCAGCTGGAGGTTGCAGTGGGCCAAGATCACACCACTGCACTCCAGTCTGGGTAACAGGGTGAGACTCTGTCTCCGAAAAAAATCTGATAAGGTTAGGGCATCTATGGTTGTAATAAGCTCCCAGGGGATTCTGATGAACATCAGAGTTTGAAAGACATTGATTTTGCTGACAAAGCTGGTCATCATTTTTGTTCAATCATTACCTTCCATCTGCCTAAGCCTAGGTTATACACAGTTCTGGTAAATACTCAAAAGATGCAGCCCCACTGTGTGTTCATATATGCTCACTGGAAAGATTATAAATGTGATTTAAAAGAGCTCTTTATGATTTGCTGGTAGAAGGAAATACTCTGAAGCCATCTTTTCATATCATTTTCTTACAGGCAACACAGTATAATGGATTGATTAACATCTTACAAACTGACAGGTTAAGAGATAGTTTTAAATCTTTATTGATAAACTGTCATTTGACTGCAAACATTTTAAAATTTAAGAATCTGTTTTCAAATATGACCATTTTATTAACCTATATACAAGGCTGTTGGGGAAAAACACAAATTTAAATTCAATTAAAATGAAGACTGAAGAATGATCACAATTTCTAGATTTATTTGCTGGTCAATATTAAAAATTGTATCTGTACCTGTTATAAAAAGTAGCAATCTTAGGCTGATGATTAATTGCTTTTGTTAAGTGTGCAGTGTGAGTTAGGTATTATAGTATTATTTATCCTTAGTTGAGCAAAATGTGTTGCTTTCAGCCATCACCTAGAAAGACAAAAATCATCATGTTATATACATAAGCAACTTCATTTGTTCTTTTGTACCCAGTGATTAAAAAGGAACAAGTTGATTTTCATCTCAGAGCTCTGATTGTATGAAGATAAAACTAGTAGTAAATCCCTTATCATATAGCCTCTTTGGCCAACATTACCCCATCATAAAGAAAACAAATAGAAGCTCTATAAAGGACAGGACAGTGGTAAGTAATCAGAGGTATGAAAATGAGCTTTGAAATGCTTCTTTTCAATATTCTTGAAATTTGTCCAGATCTCAAAACAATGATGCAGCTTTTATTTGTAGCTTTTATTACTTGTCTTTCATACCTAGTTCTGCATGACTTTAGTGCTTTTTTATTTTTCCTTTTTAGAGACAGGGTCTCTCTCTAACTCCCTGGTTAGAGTGCAGTGGCACGTTCATACCTCACTGCAGCCTTGAATTCTTAGGCTCAAGTGATCCTCCTGCCTCAGCTTCCTGAGTAGCTGGGACTACAGATGCATGCCACCATGCCCAGCTAATTTTTTTTTTTTTTTTTTTTGAAACGGAGTTTCGCTCTTCTTACCCAGGCTGGAATGCAATGGCGCGATCTCGGCTCACCGCAACCTCCGCCTCCTGGGTTCAGGCAATTCTCCTGCCTCAGCCTCCTGAGTAGCTGGGATTACAGGCACGCGCCACCAGGCCCAGCTGATTTTTTGTATTTTTTTTAGTAGAGACGGGGTTTCACCATGTTGACCAGGATGGTCTCGATCTCCTGACCTCGTGATCCACCCGCCTCGGCCTCCCAAAGTGCTGGGATTACAGGCGTGAGCCACCGCGCCCGGCACAGCTAATTTTTTAATTATTATTTTTTCTTTAGATACAGGGTCTTGCCATGTTGCCCAGGTTGGCCTTGAACTCCTGGCTCTCAAGTGATCCTCCTGCCTTGGCCTCTTGAAGTGCTGGGATTACAGATATGAGCCACTGTGCCTGGTCTTTTGTTTCTTTTTAACATTTTTTTTTAACCTACTGTTATTTTTCTTTGTCAGCAAATACAGAAACTGGTATCTAAAAGTAAACTTACTTGCTTTTGAAATTATTACCTTAGCTGCCAAAGCAGTTATCTAAGACTTCAAAGTAACATGAACTGGTTAATTCCCCCAAGGAAAATAATCATAAGGTAGAGACCACCCTTTGTAGGTTACCTACAGCCCACTAGTGCTCCTGTTTTGTGCTCTCTCCCTTTTCAATGTTCTGCATTTCTGGGGCATTCAGTCATCTTATGTGGCCCCAAGTCAGCCAGGGACAAGGACCTTATAATCTGACTATTCCTCTTACAGACTTATCTATTTTAAAAGGTGCTGAAGAGAGGGCAAAGTGCAGTGACACTGAATTATCACTGGCAGTAGAATCTTGAGCACTGTAGCAGCTGGTTGGTAGATGTTTGAAGGATGAATGCTTTTAGGCATTCACTCAAGAGAAGTGACAATCCATTCTTCATAAAGCAAGTATTGCTGGTACTGGTGTTTGTTGCTATGCAACATAAAGTGATCATATATTTAGGAATATACAGTGAAAAACCAGAACATATAACAAGGGAGAGGGGATTATTTATAGGAACACATGTAAGTGCAGTGGTTCTTTTTTAAAAATTTAATTTCTATTTAGAGACAGGGTTTCACCATATTGGCCAAGGTAGCCTCGCACTCCTGGCTTCAAACAATCCTCCCACCTTGGCCTCCCAAAGTGCTGAGATTACAGGTGTGAGCTACCTTGTCTGCCCATAAGTGCAGTGGTTCTTAAACTTGAGTTTACAAAGAATGGCCTGGGATAATTGTTAAAAGTGAAGATTCTGATTCTAACCCCAAAGATTCCTATTCAGTAGGTGTGGGCCTGGAGATTTGCATTTAAGTGAACTCCTAGGTGATTCTGATAGAAATGGTTAAAGGATTACAAATTAAGAGACAGACTCATCTACTGTATTTTTCAGTCCCTAAGTAAAAACATGCTACTATGTCCAGAATTCTAAAGACTTGACTAATAATTGTTGAATTCATCTGGTGCTATTCAGTTCTTAAAAAGAATGTAAATAACCCTCAATAATTTGGCCCAGGAGGAAACAAGTAATTTATAAGCTCTGAAAAAAACAGCTATTCTTAAATATTTATGGTTTTAATGATAAAGTATAGGCTTAATGTTCAGTTCAATGTATTAATGTTCCCACATACAGCATGTTTGCAGAGAAAGGGCCTAAGAGTGAATTCAGACATATTTGGGAATTCTGAAAGGCGAGCAGGGTAAACCTTTGGTGTAAGAACCATCTGGCCAACTCCAATGTCACGTTTATAACTTGGTTAAGTAGTATTCTCCATTGGAGGCTGAGTGCACTGGTTCACGCCTGTAATCCCAGCACTTTGGGAGGCCAAGGCAGTTGGAGCACTTGAGGTCAGGAGTTCAAGAACGGCCTGGCCAACATGGTGAAACCCTGTCTCCACGAAAAGTACAGAAAATAGAGGCAGGCACCTGTAATCTCAGCTATCAGGAGGCTGAGGCAGGAGAATCACTTGAACCTGGAAGGCAGAGGCTGCAGTGAGCCAAGATTGCACCATTACACTTCAGTCCGGGCAACAGAGTGAGACTCTGTCTCAAAAAAAAGTATTCTCCACTGAGAAGCTCCTTTTACCTCCCGGGACTGGGTTAGATGCCCTTATATAGGCTTCATAGTATCAGTAACAAGACCCAACCCTGAGCCATTATATTTCTCACAATATACCTGCCACACTGGTGTAGTTCTTCAAACACCAAAGAACTACTGCTTCAGGGCATTTGCATATGTGATCAGTCACTTTTGACGCTGTTAGCTTCTTTTTATTTTTTAAGTTTCAGCTTAAATGACACATCTTCAGAGACTTCTTATTACCCTAACTAAAGAGAATTCCCATTCTCAACCACTTGTTCTAGTCTCTCACTACTCTGTTTTCTAACACCTATCAACAATGTGCAATTAACTTGATCTTTTTTACTCAGATCTTTTTTTGCCCTCCCCCTAGAATATAAAATCACAAATCAAGGAATCTGCTTTACTTATCTGTGAATACCATGTAAGTGACCAGCACAGTATCTTCTTGCAGGGAGGAGGACTATGCCTGCCTGGTTCACCATTGTGTTCTTAGCACCTACCACATACTGAGGCATTTAATAAATTTTTATTGAATAAATTAACAAACATATAAGTTCCTCAAAAAATACTTACTATAGGGAAATGATCTGAGAAAGCAAAGGCTCTCTTTTTGACCCTACATGTTCAGATTCCTATCATTCAACACTTAGCTTTTAATGTTGCAAAGCATCTTTTTTGGTCACTTTCAATTTGGGAGGTAGACAGACCAAACCAAACCAAAAAATCTCATAATTAAACAATCCAGAAAAAATCCTACCCACTGTTATATGTCCTGAGATATGAGGAACAATGGAATCTTGGTTGTAACACAGTGCCATCGTGCTCTTAAGAGCATTTCCAGTTTGCCTGCCTTGTGTTTCTAAATAAACAAATATCTGTATAGTTACATTAGGATAATGAAAATCTGGCAAGTGAGTTGGAGTTAAAAGTTGTTGTTGTTGTTGTTTACAATAGCCTACAATGACCTGGTTGGCCGGAATAAACCTTTACAGAATATTCTCTACCAATGCTGCCTGCTTCAGAAAAGCTAGTAACATTAAAACAAAACAAAAATAAAAATTACAACTTCTCAGATATAGATAAAACTTTATTTACACATAAAAAATTACACTTCAGGAATTCTGTTTCTATAAACAGTCTCTTAGTAAAGCTGAAAATGAAAAGGTTGAAAGGGGCAGTGAACAGCTTTTTAATTGTGCACATACTGCAGTCACAAACAAGTTTTTAAGCTGCAAAAAACACCTCTTCTAAGTGGCATGAGCTTTTGAAACTGCAGACTTAAATCTCACAATGGCATCAAAAGCCAAAGAAAAATAAAACAATACTCTGAAATAGAAGACTTGGCTGTCGATGTTAATTGGGGGCTATCTCTAACTACTTTCTACCATGTTAATTCTTCCTCTTAGGTGTAATTCAACAAATAACTTTTTTCTAATAATACCTATCACTGCATGGAAAAAGTGAAAAGAGAAGTGATAAGGGCCTCCTGTAAGTATAGTAGTTTAATATTAACATTATCTACCCTCCATAAAAACCAAAAAATGTCATAATGTTTTGGGATCAAATTATTTATACAATAACCACAGATATATTCTAAAGCAGGTAAGCCTTGGTACCACGCAAATCTCAACCTCACTTCTAAATAAGTCGTTAATTCAAAGAATCATTCAATGTTAAAATGATAAATTAAATGTCAAGTTATTGCTACATCTAAACCAGATTAAAAATTCTTAGATCAGGGCTTTTTTTTTCCTTTTTAAGAGCAAGACTTAATTTACTATGTTGTGCCCAACACAAAAAGGATTTCATTTATCTACTAAGACGGTCTTATTAGGGGTGTAGCCACCATCTCCCTTTTTTTGTTCAACTCTCTTTACTTCCACACCTGCTAAAACCAATAACCCCACCATTTACTTACCGGTAATGTGGTTACTATTTGAAACATCTAAATCTATTGAAGATGACAATTTAGAGAGCTGGACAAAATCATGTAATTTCAAGTATTACAAACTTAAATGGCACCTTCAATGGTAAGAACATTAAAAGTATCTACTCCATTATATGAATGTAGTGTTACTCTTTTTTTTTTTTTTTTAAATATGGATTGCTTCACAAATTTGCGTGTCATCTTTGCACAGGGGCCATGCTAATTTCTGTATCGTTCCACTTTTTAGTATATGTGCTGCTGAAGCGAGCACCAGTGTTACTCTTTTTTTCTCCTTCATTTCTAAATTTCAAAAGAGGCCACAGTCCCGTGACACTTGGCCAAGAAATGTAGGAAATTAAAAAGTTATTTTAAAATGTCTCCTGCCAGATGGATAGATTTGATTCAGTTAGGCCTTTTGCAGCTTTGAAAGTGGGGAGGGGATGAAATAATGAATATCTTTCCATCCTGTGCAGTAACTACTTTGTCCTTTTGTTGTCAGTATTTTTGAATTGGGATTAGTCCCTCCATGAGGCAAAACAATCTCTGAAACTGGCCTTACATTTTGTTAAAACTGTCCTCAGGTTGGCACAAAAGAGCACTAGCTCCAAGGCCAGTAAGGTGGTAACTCCTGGAAGCATTAGGCGGAAAGCAGAGGTTTCTCTTCTTTATGCCAAGGTCATGGTCACTCCAAAGGTGAGGCATAAAACAGTAACTACGTAACACAGAAATATCCCTATTCTCTTTAAAGTAGGAAAACAAACCAAAATAAGTCTTCAAAGATAACATTTTTACTTTAAAAAATACAAATTTCTCAAAAATATATGTTAAGAATTTACATAAGGAAGAAGAGCTAGAAAATACTTTTTCCTTTCATTGGGAAAAAACGATAACAAAATTAAATGAATGCAATGGAAATACTCTTGTACAAAATTTTGTGTTCAGAAAATATTGCTCATTAAAAATGACATTTTTAGTCAAAATGTAGCTCTGTTCAATTCTGAGTAGACAAGAAACTTTTAAAATTTGCTTAGGAGAATAACTCATCTTTTTAACAGCAATGCTCCTTTAGTTCACTATGGTTTACATTGATGCTATGGAAAAAATATATTGTACTGCTATTACAAGAGGAAGAATAATTTGTACCATCATATAAACAGTTTACTCGATTTTCATAAAGCTTACATGAACTGGGAATCAGAATCTTTTTCCACTAAAAATTTGTGTCTCATCAAAACTAGAATACCAGTGGAACAATTGGGATTAATCTGCAAGAAAATATAACTTATAGAATTGGCATTTATTTAACAATAGTTTAATAGTTTAAATAGAATTTCTCATCTTATAAATATATTATTTTTAGAGGCAGTGCTTAAAGCATTACAAACTTATAATACTCCCAATTAGGGGGGTTATAATAAATTTTCCATTTCCATTTTTGTATTTGTGGATTAATTTTTTTCTATTCATAATTGATATAAAAGATATGATCCCCCTAAATTAGCTACAAACTGTTAAGTACAGTATATAAATGGGTAAAGTGAGATCATCCCAAAGCAAAGTTCCAGGACTCAGAAAGCTTTGGCTGAGATCACAGAGACTGAGTCTTGCAGATTTCACGCTGCTAACAGTTAATGGCATACTTGTCCTGATTGCCTCCCCTAGAAATACTAACTACTAAAGTTGCAAAAACCAAAATCATTTTTCCTTAGCGCATGAGATAACCCAGAGATCTTTCTGACTTAAAAACAATTCAAGAAATGAAACAACAAATAAAAAGCCCTGAGTGCTAAAACAAGCAAACTGATTATAAAACAGACAAAACTCCATACCCTCTGTTTTCAAGTAAATTTGTATTCACTGGCTGCAGTTTAAAGGGAAAAAACAACCACTTTCAAAATCATGTGTTTACAGGAAGGACTTGACACACTCACTCTAGAACAGGTCAGGTATACTTGATGAGGAGATCCAGGCTGTCGTAGAGATTCGGCGGTCAGTCCTGATCAGACCTTAGAGGGTACTTGTGAGACAACATGAAAATCAGGGGGAATGGAAGCCTCTTAAAATAATTATTGGAAGAAAAGCCCATACTTCCACAGAAGCTAAAGGCACATAGAATATTCCGTTCTACCAAAGAAACATTAGTTTTATGTTTCCACATGACCTTAAAAGGACACACGGAACAAGGCAAATTTGTGTGGTTTTTAAGACTAAAGTAATCTCTAATCTTAAGAAGCCAAAAACAAAGATGGACAAAGAAAATTCTTCAACTTTTCTTCATTGCATAGGGAAATCCCCCTGAGGTAAAAATAAGAAAACTCAGTAAGTTGGAAATATTTCTAAATTTGACTGTATTTTCCTCAAAAATCTGATTTGAATATTGATATAGGTTTCATACAATTAAAAATCATAAAGATTTTAAGAAGCAACCTCAGCTTTTATGTAATTTCTTTTCTTCTTTTCCTTTTCTTTCTTTTTTGAGATGGAGTCTCTCGCTCTTGCTGCCCAGGCTAGAGTGCAGTGGCTTGATCTTGGCTCACTGTAACCTCTGCCTCCCGGGTTCAGGCAATTCTCCTGCCTCAGCCTCCTGAGTATCTGGGATTGCAGGGGTGTACCACCATGCCCAGTTAATTTTTATTTTTATTATTTTTATTTTTAGTAGAGACAGAGTTTCACCATGTTGGTCAGGCTACTCTTCCAACCTCAGGTGACCCACCTGCCTTGGCCTCCCAAAGTGCTAGGATTACAGGCGTGAGCCACTGTGCCTAGCCTCTTTTTTTTCTTTGAAAGAGATGAGGTCTCACTTTGTTGCCCAGGCTGGAGTACAATGGCACAATCACAGCTCACTGCTGCCTCAAATTCCTGGGCTCAAGGGATCCTCCTGCCTTAGCCTGCTGAGTAGCTGGGACTATAGGTGTGCTCCATTGCACCTGGCTAGTTTTTTTTTTTTTTTTTTTGGTAGATATGGGGTCTCACCATCTTAAGCAGGCTGATCTCAAACTACTGGGCTCAAGTGATCCTACCACATTGGTCTCCCAAAGTGTTGGGATTACAGGTGTGAGCCACTGCACCCAGCTTTATGTAACTTCTTAATCACTATTCTGAACCCTTGTCAGATTGGGCTATGGATGAATATTGGAAGAGTTTTGAACCTTAACTTATAGGGGACCTTTTAAAGCAATAAACATTTTCTTGTTGGGATTTTGTTTAACATACAAACTACCAGCAAGCCTCCTTTCTTCATCTTTAATAAAGCAGGCATATTTACCCAAGCATCAATCCACACCTTCCTTTGCTATTTCTTACAAGCTGAATTTTTATTTTAGCATTTTAAATAGCAATATCCTATTAGGTTATTATGACGGAAAGGCTATTTTTTCTAGCAAGCCATATTTTTCAACCCACAAGGCTGACTTTTCTAAAACCACAGTTTACTTATTAAAAAATATATAATTTTTAATCTATTGTAAAAAGAAATTGACTTCAGCACAATTATTAAAGACAACAGAATTTTGAAAATTTCACATTGATCAGTATTAAAATATACCTCACTGAAATATACTTACTTATAAAAACATATTGCCTTTGCCATGTGAAAATCTGGTGTTTAGTTCTCTAGATTTTTTTATTAGGGCTTTTTTTTGAGCTTCATCAAACCGATTAACCTTGAGATCCTTATCACGGTCAAATGGTATTCTTTCTTGAGGCTTATTTTTGTCTTCAGCAGCCTTACTCTTTAACTTTTTATGATGTATGTCCATAAGAGATTCTGATCTTTTTGATTCCTGGAGAGAACAGGAGAGCAAAAATAAAAACTATAGTTTGTGTAGATTACTGATAAATATGATCATGAAACGGAATAATTAGATAGTAATGGTATACATTAAGGAGGGCTACTTATAAACCCCAATAGTTTTTTTCCCCCAAATTCAAGACAGCATTTATAAAGAAAATACATAATGAAAAGCATTATGGTTATTTAAATATTAGACATCAGGGTACAAACCAAGAACAGGGTTGTGAAAGAAAAAGCAATTATATTGTCACTTCATAGATTTGCTGGTCTTTGAAAGCTATATTGATGGATAGGAAGGGAAGGCACAGCCAGGCTGAAGCAAAAACAAAGGTAAAAGACAAGAGCAAAGATGTGGCAAAATTCAAGGCCTGTGCAGCATATGTTGGCATGCTCCATAGCTAATTTTTGTTCCTTTCAGTTTTCTGTTCTTTCTCTTTTTCCCTTAACTCCCTCATTTTTCTTTTCTTCTTAGCTAGGGTAGGTGTTCACATTTTCAGATGTATTTAGGAAGACAAGGTCTGAGCAAAAACAATTGATTTAATAAACTAAGGATTACAGACCTCTGAGTACTGACTAAGGTAAAGGATAGAACAGTCTTGGATGGAAGGAGCAAGGAAGGGGATGGAAAGGAGATATAGGTAGTACAGATCAGCAGCCTTCAAACTGGGGAATAGAGTTTGTGGAGGATGAAGGCATGGGTAATTTTACGGTTATTTTTCCATGATTCTCTACTTCTTCATGTAGTCTTTCTTACAAGTGATTTGGCCTAGACTGCATCTTGTGTATAAGGTAGCAAAAAGCAAACAAAAATGGAGAACTAAAGATGGCAGGTTTCAATGTACCAATTCCTTATATTAGTAAGTTAAACATCAATAGAGACAGAGGAATACATTAAATCACTGGACTATTATACAAGCAATCAAAACAATTCAAGTGCTCAAATTCATGATGATAAAAGAAATAAACTTTAATATCAGTTGTTTCAAGTGTACTACTGTTGGTCTGATTTAGGATAATTTGCACACTGTGACACACAGGACCAAATTAGTGCTAAATTATAGTAAAATAAAAATGCCTAGAGGCAGTCAATTCACTGAAAATCAAAAGCTGAAACTGATTGATGTAAGAGATTAATCTGCTAAATTACTAATTTGCTGATTTACCATATTTAATCATTTAACACAAATGTTTGCATTTTCTAACAATTTACAATATTTAGAGCATTTTTTATTTATTAAAAAATTTTTTTTAGAGACAGGGTCTTGATCTGTGTAGACCCTGCCATGAAGTGCAGTGGTGTGGTCATAGCTCACTGTAACCTCAAACTCCTAGGCTCAAGTGATCCTCCAACCTCAGCCTCCCAAGTAGCTGGGACTACGAGTTAATTTTTTACCTTTTTATTTTGGTAGAGATGGGGTCTCACTATATTGCCCAGGGTGGGCTTTAACTCTTGGCCTCAGGAGATCCTCCCTTCTGAGTCTCTCCCAAAGTGCTGGGATTACATGTGTGAGCCACCATGGCTAGCCATGAGCAATTCATTTTAGAATAAGATGGGTTTGTAATGGCTTTTGAAAACGAATGCCAAACTTCTTGACTGGTTTTTATTTTGTCTTCATTGAAGTATTTTAAAAACTGCTCAATTTATCAAAAGCTGAGGTTTCTAGAGTGGTTTAGTCTTAAGGCTATATTAATACTTTGAATAGAAAGTATCTGGAATTTCATCATGAGTAGAACCCTAATTTTTTGGATGTATTTTAAAGTAAATTGTAAACATCGCTACATGTCCTCCTAAATACCGAAGCATGCATTTAATCTGAGTTCAATATTTGTTTATACATTTTTAAGACAAATGTACATATGATGAAATGCATAAATATTAAGTGTATAGTCAGTGAGTTTTATAGTTCAAACTTCAATCAAGATCTGGAACCTTTCTATCACTTCAGGCATAGGAAAGTATGCTGTTTCCTGGTCAAATTCCATACCCCTATTCCAACTACTAGCATTCTAATTTTTTTCCACCATAGATTGATTTTGCTTATTTTAGAGCTCCGTATAAACGCAAGAAGAAGTATGTACTTGCTTGTGTAAGACTTCTTTCACTCAGCATAATGACTCTGAGATTCATCCATGTTTTACTTATTATTATTATAAAGGAAAATAATGTGTTCCTTTTTATTGGCGAGTAGTTTCATTTATACCACAGTTTGGTTTTCTCTTACTGATAAACACTTGAGCTGCTTACTGTATTTAACTATTACAAATAAAGCATCTATGAAATTCTTGGATAAGTTTTTTTGTGGCTATTAAGAACAACATATTCAACTCTTTGTGTGGATATGTTTTCATTTTTCTTAGGTAAATACCCAGAAGGAAAATAGCAGGGTACGTCTGTTTAGTTTGATAAGAAATGCCAGTTCGGAAAAAGGCTTATCTTATTTATTTTCAGCCATTGGTCTTTTCTCACATAATTCGTTATGGCTCTAAATTTTCCCTCTAAATACCACTTCATATGGCATCCCACCCATTTTGATATGTTGTATTTTTGTCATTCAGGTCTATGTTTTCTAACTGCCGTTATCGTTTTTTCTTTGATGCAAAATTTAAATTTTTGAGTTTTTCTGATTTCCAGTTTTTAAGTTATTCTGAACCCAAACTTCAATTCTTTGTGGTCAGAGAATTTGGTTTGAATGATAGTAATTCCTTCAATTTTGTTGAGACTTGACTTTTGAGCTAGTAAGTTTTCATGAATACTCCAAGTGGGCTGAGTTTTTTGTCAATTTCCAAAAATGTTTTAAGCATGCTTCACTGTGGTACTGTTCAACATATATACAATAAATCAAGCTAACTATATTTTAGAGCATGGAATTTTCTTTAGTTAATATACTGGGAACAGAAAATAATTTTCCTAAATACCTTTCAGGGACCAACAGGTTCAGTAATTTACATTTATTCTTTGAGCTGGGACATTTATCATTTTCTTTTTGTGCAGGCACCATCCAACATTTACCATTTTTTTAAAAGACAGAATATAACAAAATAATATGCCAAATGAATACTGACCATTAAGTTTGTAAATTTAGATTGAACTGCATTCAAAAAACATTTTTTCTCCCATATTTAAATATTTATTATACAACTTTCCAAATCTGCTTATAATTTAAACATTTATAAATGGAGGCTCTCCATAAGTGAGTAGGGTTCTTGCTTTCGCTCATCAAGTGCTACCTATCATCTCTAGTAATTAGATTTTTGCTAATTTAATAAGTAAAATTTGAATTGGAAGACACAGAAGAACTTTATACAAATACATATATATGTTGCATATGTATTTTTATACATTTATCCTGAAAAGTTTTTTTCAGAATAGATGTATAAAAAGTGCATGGTAAAGAGGCAGACATATCAAAGAAAGAGAAATAGGTAAAAAAAACAAAAAAAAAAAACAAAAAAAAAACAAAACTAAAAGAGGAAAAAGGCTATATATTTTGTTTCTGGCTTTTTTTTTTTTTTTTTTTTTTGAGACAGAAGGCAGGGAAGGCCTTCAAGTGATCTTCCCACCTCAGCTGGCGAATTAAAAAATTTTTTTTTTAGAAACATGATCTTGATATGCTTCCCAAGCTGGTCTTGAACTCTTGGCCTCAAGTGATCTCCTGCCTCAGCCTCCCAAGTAAGCTGGGATTATAGGCAAGAGCCATCACACCTGGCTCTACACATCTTATTTTCTTACTTACATTATATGAAGATACCTGCTCAGCCAGTCTCTTATCTCTTCCTGATAATACATGTTCTTCATCTTTCTTATTTGATGACTTCCTTGCTTCTTGTGTTTCCTGAGGAATGAACACAGATAACACACTATTGAATCATAAAATTAAGATAAAATAAAAAATATTATTTTTACTCAGATTAAGTAACAAGAGACACAACCAAGCCAGGCTTGTGAAATCCCTTCTGATTAGAAATATTAACATACTTGGTCAGGCATAGTGGTTCATGCCTGTAATCCTAGCACTTTGGGAGGCCGAGGCAGGTAGATCACCTGAGGTCAGGAGTTCAAGACCAGCCTGGGCAACATGGTGAAACCTTGTCTCTACTGAAAATACAAAAGTTAGCCAGGCATGGTGGTGGGTGCCTATAATCCCAGTGACTCAGGAAGCTGAGGCAGGAGAATTGCTTGAATCTGGGAGGCAGAGACTGCTGTGAGCTGAGATTGCAGCATTGCACTCTAGCCTGGCAGATGGAGTGAGACTCAGTTTCAAACAAACAAACACACAAACAAACAGAAAACCCTGAAATATTAACATATTTGATAAGGGATCAGTAACTGCTCTAGTCTATGATTTTCTTGAATACAAGGAAAAAAAAAATACCCCAATCAATCACCCTATTTATTGAACTTCTATATCTCACTAACAATGGTGAGATATAGAAGTGAAAATAAGGCTTAAAAATGAACACAGATAACACACTACTGAATCATAAAATTATAAAATATCCTACATTACTGCTTTCAAAAATAATAAAATCAGCATGGAGGGAAAAAAAACAGAGAAAAAGAAATAAAAGGTGTATATTTTGAAAAAAAAAATGCATTTATTCACAGATCCTAGCACTATGTAGCAAACTGTGGACTATGTAGGAAACTCCAAAGAATTTACCAAAAAAGCTCCTGGAACTACTAAGCAAGTATAGCAAAGCTGCAGGATACAAGGTCAATACATACAAATACAGCAGCAAGAGGCCGGGTGTGGTAGCTCACGCCTGTAATCCTAGCACTTTGGGAGGCAGAGGCAGGTGGTCTGCCTGACCTCAGGAGTTTGAGACCACCCTGGGCAACATGTGAAAGCCTCTCTCTACTAAAATACAAAAAATTAGTTGAGTGTGGTGGCAAGTGCCTGTGGTCCCAGCTACTTGGGAGGCTGAGGTACAAGAACTGCTTGAAGCTGGGGGCTGAAGGTTGCAGTCAGCTGAGATGGCGCCACTGTACTCCAGCCTGGGTGACAGAGCAAGACTCTGTCTCAAAAAAAACCCAAAACATTATATATATATATATATAATATATATATGCAAGAAGAAACTGGCATTTAAAACAAAACTATCATTTATATTAGCACACACACACATGAAGTACCTAGTCTAACATATTTTAATTAGAAAAAATGTTAGAGTGATATTCTAGAGAATATGCTCCCAACCAGGAATGGGGAAGGCCCATATAAAAACTACTGAAAACCACTGGTCTCTAAGAATATATATATATATATATATATATATGCACACATACACACATATTTTTGAGATGGAGTCTCCTGTTACCAGACTGGAGTGCAGTGGCACAATCTCAGCTCACTGCAACCTCTGCCTCTCAGGTTCAAGTGATTCTCCTGCCTCAGCCTCCAGAGTAGCTGGGATTATGGGCGGCCACCACCACGCCCAGCTAATTTTTGTATTTTTCGTAGAGATGGGGTTTCATCATGTTGGCCAGGATGGTCTCAATCTCTTGACCTCATAATCACTCTGCCTCAGGCCCCCAAAGTGCTGGGATTACAGGGGTAAGCCACTGCAACCAGCCTCTAAGCACATTCTTATATTGCTTTTATTTGCTTAGGAAAACTAAGGAGACCTCATGGACTAAAACAACACTGTATTTAATAAAGCAAGTTAAAAACATAGAAATAGCTCATTTCTACATTTTCCTGGAAAATAGATGCTTTTGCTTATAAATATTAAAAGAAAAGTGATGTTATGGTATAATGGAGATAAAAACCTAACCATTTAATATTAAAAGGTAGTAGATATTGTCGAGAGTGGGAAGCGATGAGGTAACTGATCTCATTCAATTAATGTATGTAAAACATTTTCATTACTTTCTAAAGAGCAATCTTATTTCTTTGAGGTCACATTGGCTAAATTAATGTGAGAACAGTAGAGGTATGAGAGGTATGCTGGAAAAACAAATATAAGAAGTAGGATGGAGTGGAGAGGACCTATCAATAAGGAAATATGGCTAACATCTGTCATAAAAATTAGTTGTGAACTTTACACAGGATCAAAGACGACAGAAAATGAATAGCTCTGTGATACTATCTAGTTTGTGACATAAATATAAGTCTGTGGTACTATACTCTGTAATATAGTATTCTATAAAATTTAAGAGGTATTAATCATCCCTTTATGAGTCCACTGCAAATACTAAACAAAACATTTCAGCACAGAAAAGAATGACCAGGTTTAAAGAACTCAGTCACAGGGATTATAAAATCTCTTAAGTTCAAACAATACAGGTTTCCATGTGTTCCATTATTCCATGGTATTTTCCTCCAAGGAAGACTCCCTGTATACCTGGCTGTAAGCTAGACATTCATCTACAATGAGAAACAGAAGGATATAAAAAAGAACAAATAAATACAGACACAAATAAAAAGACCATGTAAGCAAGGGAATTAACTGTCTTTTTGGAGATAATTTTAGAGGCTAAATTATAAAAACTCCAATAAATAATTTTTATTTCAAAACCAGCTAAGAAAGAATAAGCATTCCAACACCAGCATTTCAAGGTTTTTGTGGCCCTCTTGGATCCACATCCTTGCTGCCTCTCCTGCCCCCATGTGTGTTGGTTCACCTCACCTTCCTATTACAGCTCTCAGATTCTTTTTAATCTTAGGACAAAAGAGCAATTATGTATGATGCCGCCCAATATGCAGGCAGGGTGCTCAAGTGTGGAGTCTGCTCTATGCCCTCCACACTTTAGGGTACCACTGTTTATTTCACAGGCAGTTTCCCACTAAAATGAAAACTCCTTAAGGAGCACTTGCATCTTTCTATCACTTGCAACCAAATACAATTCCTGACAGAGCAGGAGAATTGATCATTACAGATTGAAAACAGAAATCCTGAAACTTCTAGGTATTGATGAATGAGATAACAGTTAGTGGAATGAACTAAGTGTGGAAATGCTTTAGTCAGAACTGATAAATTTATAATCGTGACAATTAGTCAAGCATTTGAGAATTGAATAGGATGTCTTACAGAAATTAAAACCTTTAGAGAGATGTTGTGCACAGTGGCTCATGCCTGTAATCCCAGCACTTTGGGAGGATTGCTTGAGCCCAGGAGCTTGAGGCTAGCCTGGACAACACAGCAAGACCTTGTATCTACAACAATAAAAAATAAAAGAATTAGCTGTGTGCCCATAGTCCCAGCTCCTCAAGAGGCTGAGCCCACGAGTTTGAGGCTGCAGTGAGCTATGATTGTGCCACTGCAGTCCAACCTGGGTGACACAGAGACCTTGTCTCTTAAAAAATGAACAAACAAAAAGAAAAACAAAACCCACAGATAGAGTAAATTTAAGGAGTAGTGCTGGGGATACTAGTTTAATTCCTAATAGACAATGAAATGTTTCGTAATAAACAGAAAAAGATTCAAGACGAGAAACTTAAAAATAATGTATTCTATGCATACATTTTGTTTTGTTTTGTTTTGTTTTTTTGGATGTAGTCTTGCTCTGTCACGCAGGCTGGAGTGCAGTGGCGTGATCTTGGCTCACTGCAGCCTCCACCTCCTGGGTTCAAGTGATTCTCCTGCCTCAGCCTCCCAAGTAGCTGGGATTATAGGATCATGCCACTATGCCAGGCTAATTTTTCTATTTTTAGTAGAGGCAGGGTTTCACCATGTTGGCCAGGCTGGTCTCGAACTCCTGACCTCAGGTGATCTATCTGCCTCAGCCTCTGAAAGGGATGGGATTACAGGTGTGAGCCACCGTGCCCAGCTGGTATTTTTTGGATAATTTATTAATGATAGTGCTTCTTGTCTATCTTGACAGTAACATAAAGCTTAGTGCACCTGAGATATGATCATTTTGAGAGAGATTTCTCTACGTGTCACTTATTTGCTAGGTTAATATGCAGCTTTATTTATTTTTTTCCAAAATATTTTAGAAGATACATGTTCATAAAGATAGTATGGTATGAAAAGACCAGGGAATCTGGAGTTAGAAAGGTCTAAAATCAAATTGTTTTTCATCACTTACTAGCTCTGTGACCCTAGAAAAGTTGACTTCATGCAGGTTAGTTTCTCCATCTGTAAAATAAGGTCATTATCCCTACATCTCAGAGTTTTCTTGAGGTTTAAATGAGACTGTTTATTGGTAAATAGTAAACAGCATGCAATTGGTGTCACTTTCCCTCCTCATAACCTTCTTCCAGAGGAAAATCTGTTTTATCCTTTTGGAATCATAATTAAAAAAAAAAGAGTAACCTTAATTAATTTTGCATTATGTCTTTTCTAAATCCAGCCAACAAGAACAGAAATACATGAACAAACAAACAAAACCTCTCACCTTAGCTTTCCTTTCCCTATCAGCTGGAGTATCTGTCCAGATTGATCGATCTCCAGATTTGTCATCAGCTCTTCTCTTAAAAGTCCTTGGCCCAAGACCAAAGTCTTTCATTTCTGGAGGAAGTTCAGTCATCCATGACTCTCTTACAATGGGTTTAGATGAATCCTTTAAGAGAAAAAAAAAAAAAAAAAGAAAAAAAAAACAGCATGGAAAGTATACATAGTGTATAAGATGGGTACATATATATGTATAAGCAACCATGTCATGCAATTGAAGTTTTAAAGTGACTTAACAAACTCTAAAAGAAAGGATTGATGTTTTGTCACATATGTTTGTCACAAACATTACAAAGACTTTAATCCAATTTGTTATTTTTCTTTTACAGTTTCTGGGTTCTAACTCCTAAGTTAAAAAAAAATATATGTTATACATAAAAATAAAATGTATTAAAAGTTATATAGTTTAGTGTTTATTTCTAAAATTTACATTTTTAATCTATTTAGTTTATTTCCTAAAATGTCTTTAAAACTTACATCATCTCCTTTAGTCAGTTTTTCTTTCATTCTCTGGGCCCTTTTCTCAAACTCTGTCGTTATATTATAGTTAACTGGTCCTTTTGCAGGCATTGGTCCAACAATGTCCTCATCTTCACTGCTGTCTGTTTCCTTTTAAAACAAGACATTACCTTTAAACCAAGAGGAGAGCTACAGGTTATAAAAAATAATTCTGAATTACCTAATTTAACTGAAACTTATTTTCCATAAAAAATAAAAAAGTAAACAATGTATTGCTGGCTCATCACTGAATCATGAGGACTTTTTCCTCACCTTCCTCAAGTGCCTAGCACAGAGATGACAAATCCATGGCACGCAGATCTCTCCCATCTCTCTTCCTGATGGACATAGATGTAGACTTAAAGGTCTTCTCAAAATAGTATAATTAGACAATTATATGCTGTTTTGTGGCTTACTCTAACACACACAGACACACACACACGCACACAAACACATTCTTAATAACTATGGATTTTGGCATACATCTCACTTGATCCTTGTAAACAAACTATAAAATGGCACTACTTCTGTTTTTTCTTTTTCTTTAGGAGACCTAGGCTTAGAGAGTGTAATTAGAATAGGTAAACAACTTGCCTGGTTTTATAAAACTATTATCTAAGAATCAAATACTCCAAGATCAAGGCCAGCATTTTTTCTGTGTATATGACAGGGGTCCCTCTATTATTTTATCTCAACTGTTAGTGATTTCAGTGTTTCTAGCTTGTATCTACAATAGTAAGCTTTCTAATGTCACAGACATTATGTTAAACATATTTATAACCCCTACAAATATAAATATTTGGTGACACAAAATGTTCAGATGTAAAAGATATAATGAACTTTTTAAAACTATGAGACGAAAACAAAACAAAGCACAAACTATAAAAGTCATGGCACCAATACAGGGTTAGTGGAATAAGCTAATGACAGTCTTACTTCCATCTCAATAAAAGATGGTTTTATAAAGGTAGAATTTTAGCATGTATTGGTAAGATGATGCCTTTAATTTTTAGAAATAAATATCACTTATGTTTGGAGGCAAACAAAAAGGGGATGGAGAAGCAAACAGGAAATCAGGCCAAACACACCAAATTGAAAATCAGAAACAGAATAATATGTCCAAATCCTATCTAGGCATTAAATCATTTTGGTGTCCTGGATATTTCTTTTAATTAAAAAAAAAAGGTGTATACTTTATACAGAATTACAATAGAAATTAGGTACCCTACTGGTTTATACTTTGGCCTGACTTTGCGGAAGGCCTCATTTGCCAGTGTACTAGCCCTGAGACTTCAGGTATGTTATTTAACCTAAGTGCTGGTTTTTTTGTCTTTGACATGGGAATTATAACAGCTTCTACCAATAGCTATTCTATTGCCAAGAGAACCCAGCATTTTGTTTACCCTCTTTGGAGCCACACCCTTCTGAGGGAACTGGGACCTTCTCTAATACCTGGGGAAAAATATTCATAATTCTAGGCCAGTCACTAAAAAAAAAAGTAGTAACTATTGTATGGACATGTTTATAAAGTAGTTACTTTGGTCTTATTCTTTTTGCTCAGCTGACTGGTTTAGGCATATGACACAATTTTTGTGAAATAAACACAAAAGGTCTACAGGAAACTGGTAGGGTTTTCCTTCTTCTACAAAAGAGGCACAGGGAAAGGACTATTCCTTCTCTGTGTCTGGACACTGCTAGCTGTGTGTAAGTCTTAGAACTTTGGCAGGCTTCTTGGTATGATGAAGACAGCCAGCCAAAGAGAATTAACTCTTAGTTAATTCTCTTATAGAGCAGGAAGGTAGAAAAAACTGGAGCCCTTTATGATTTCATGAGGAGAATGAATTAATCAATCCTGGAATGATCTTACCTCTAGACCTCCTATTATATACGAAACATATTTTCCTTGTTTTGAAAATACAGAACAAGTATCACCAAGGAAATTAACCCATTTGCTAACTAAGTAAAGATAAAGTTCCATTTTGAGTTGGATTTTCTGTTATTTGCAGCTGAAGGCATTCAGCTGATACACTACCTCCCTGGGTTGTTGTTTGGATTAAGTTAAGTTTATGCTGCTATTGCAGTGTCTGGCTTGTGGTAAGTGTGCAAGAAATGTCAACCATTATGTTGTGTATTTTTTTTTTTTTTTTTTTTGAGACAGAGTCTTGTTCTATCACTAGGCACCAGACTGGAGTGCAGTGGTGCGATCTCGGCTCACTGCAAGCTCTGCCTCCCAGGTTCAAGCAATTCTCATGCCTCAGCCTCCTGAGTAGCTGGGACTACAGGCACATGCCACCATGCCCAGCTAATTTTTGTATTTTTAGTAGAGATGGGATTTCACCATGTTGGCCAGGATGGTCTCGATCTCTTGACCTCATGATCCACCCGCCTCGGCCTCCCAAAGTGCTAGGATTACAGGCTTGAGCCACTGTGCCCGGCCTACTGTGTATGTTTTAATTTGGGGAGATATGCTGGGAATGAGGCTAAGAGAAGTCCATCTTTGAGAAATGAAAATCTGAAACGGGTCTTTTGAAAAAGGTTCAATTAAAGGGAAATTATAAACAATCAGAGCAAGAATACCTCACACATGGTCCTACAGTGTAATCCCTCACATTTCAACAAAAGAAGTTAGGGAATGTAGAATGTGTACCACCTAGGAAATGATGTAAGCAATCCATTTGCTAACTAGGTAGGTTAGGACAAAATTCCAAGTGTGAATAATGCTAAATTACTCTACACCTTTGGAAAGTATTTTCCCGATTTTTTATTTTGAAAAATTTTGAACCTACATAAAAGTGCTAAGATGAGTGCAATAAACACCAACACGTCCTCACTCAGATTTACCGAGTGGTACATTACACTTTACCACATTCATCTTTTTGTTTGTTTGTTTTCCGTTCCTCTCCCCCTTGAGATTGACAGACAGACACACACTTTTTTTCAGAACCATTTTAAAGTAGGTTACAGATAGTATGACAAGGCTCTAGGCAGAAGCAAATTTCCTTGCCACCTTCCTAAGGCGGAGATAACTGAATCATGGGGTCATCCCCCATCCTGTTCTTGTGATAGTGAGTTTGTTCTCACAAGATCTGACGGTTTCATCAGAGGCTTCCCCCTTCGCTGGACACTCATTCTTCTCCTTGTTGCCGCCATGTGAAGATAAAAACATTTGCTTTCCCTTCTGCCATGATTGTAGGTTTCCTGAGGCCTCCTCAGCCATGCTCAACTGTGAGTCAATTAGACCTCTTTCCTTATAAATTACCCAGTCTTGGATATGTCTTTATTAGCGGTGTGAAAACAGACTAATACACCTACTATTCTGATTTAATCCTTATAACAACCCTATGAGGTAAGGGCATGTTACGGATCATGAAGCTAAGCTTGACACAAGGCTTCGAGCAGCTCTTACCTGCTTTCCTCACCTCTCCCTCGGCATTCTCCCTGTGCTCTCCTTTCTAACTACACTGAACATCTTTAACCCTAACTTTCATCCTCTTCACACTCTCTTTTGCCTTCAAATAAGCCATCTGCTTTCTGGAACAATGTTCCCTACCTGCTTTGCTGAGCTAGCTCCAATTCATCAAACTTCAGATTAGTAGACATTCACTCAGATAAAAAGACCTTTTCTTTTTCTTTTTCGACAGGGTCTTGCTATCACCCTGGCTGGATGCAGTGGCACGATGTCAGGTCACTGCAACCTTTGCCTCCTCGGCTCAAGCTATCCTCCAACCTCAGCTCCCAGGTAGGTGGCAACAGAGGCATATGTCACCGTACCTGGCTAATTTTTTTGGATTTTTGGTAGAGATGTGGTTTTGCTATATTGCCCAGGGTGGTCTTGAACTCCTGAGATCAAGCAATCCATCCACCTTGGCCTCCCAAAATGCTGGGATTATAGGCATGAACCACTGTGCCTAGCTGAAAAAGACCTTTTCTCATTTTCAGATTAGATTCCCCCATCATGGTTCCAGTTATATTTTGTCTCACCTTTAAATAATTCGTAATGTTAGAAATTGATGTATGTATTCCCCACTACCTTGTAAGTGTGATTAGGGCAGGGACTGTGCTTTACTTATTCATTCAACAAACACTTCTGAATATCCACTATTTATAAGGAACTAGTGGTAAGATAAAAAATCTGTTCTTACAGAGTCACATTCTAGTGGAAAGAGGCCAACAGTAAAGAAAAGGCAGAAGGAAAATTAACGGTATCTTTAGTGGTAAAAAATACTATGGTGAAAATTAAAGGAGGGATGAACAGGTTAGCATATTTTAATTTGGAGGCCAGAGATGACTGTATTGGAAAGATAATATTCCAGCAAAAACCTGAATGTCTAGGAGGTCAGCCATACAGATATCCAGGGGAAGACCATTTTGCATAGACTTGGACAGCAGGGGCTCAGGAGTAGGAGCTGGCCTGCTATATTTGAGGACGAAAAGCAAGGAGCCCAGTGAAGTCACATCAAAGCAAAAGATAGAGTACTAATAATGGAAGCTATACTGTACAGGACCCTAAAAGGACTTTGGCTGTGACTTAGGGAAAGGAGGAGCAATTGGTGGTTTTGAGTGTTAGTGATATGATCTGACCTTGATCTACCTTTGTTTCATTTGGACCCCTTTAGCTGTTGTGTTGACAAGGGGTAGTAGAGTAGAAAGGACTACATAAAGCATGAAGACCAATAAAAGGGGTAAAATGTGATGGTCACTTGGACCAGGGTGGGAGCAGACGTGGCTGGATCCTGAACGTCTTATGAAGATAGGAACAAAATAATTTGTTGACAGGTTCATTTCTGTGACTATGGGCCTGCCACACTGCAGGTGTTCTACAAGCATTTGAAAGAATAAGTAAATGACTCTGAAATTCATAATTTTAACAACCACTGCATTATATGTCCTTTGAGTAACAACCTCAGTGTAACTGTTGAATGCTTAGTGGAGATAAACAGGAGTCTCTGGAATATATGAATTCATATATAGGAAGACACTGCAGTATAACAGACTGAACAAGTGATTTAAAGTCATAGGAACTGGGTTTGTGCCATGGTTTTGATCAGTAAAAATTGTGGAATCTTGGGTAAGGTACCCAATTTCTTTGGTCTTTAGCATTTGTAAGGTGCAGATAATATCTATTTCATGAAGCTGTGGTGAAGATAAAATAAGGTCCACATGCAGGGGAAATGCATTACAAATTATAAAGTACTTTACAAATCTCAAATCTTGTTAAGGAGAAAAATGGCCTTTATACTTTACTCCAAAGTCATTTGGTCTATCTTTTCCTAAAATTACTTATCCACCAGTGCATTGTTTTATACACAGGTCCCAGAGCTGGGTAGAAGAAAGTAAATTTCAACATAAAGACCATTATTAAAAAGCTCTTCAACTTTCTCTCCTCCAGGCCAAATCACAATCATTCCTTAAAATTTTCTTCATGTTCCATCCTTCTAACACTTTAAAGTCTCCCTTCAAAGATAAGAAGCATGAATAGGTAACACCCTGTTAACCTTGTTATTTGCCTAACAGAATCTCAGGTTTATGAACAGCTTTTGATTTCATCTGCTTATGTTACAATCTTAAATTAAATCCATCTGAATATAACTGAGTCTTACATTACATTTGAGTCCAGTTACAATACATCTTATTCTTTTATTGAAAACCTTCCAAACCTTAGAATTGAAATGGGATGATACCTGTTCTTCTGGATCGTCTCTGCCTTTGTCACTTTTCTGTGTAGCTTTAATGAAACCAGGTGGCAATGCAGGACCTATTATAGGCCTGAAAAATAAAAGGTACTTTTATCATTCTGACTTTAAAAAGCAGTTTTCAGAATAAAAGTTCACAAAATAATAAAGTCAGATAGTAACAAATGTTGAAAATAAGAATTTCATTTGACACATTTTTACTAGTATTACCTAGTATCTTTCTGCTAGATATCTTTTAAAAACCTAATTTTTACATTTCAATTTTCTACTTGTTAGACAATAGAGGCTAAGCCAATAATTCTCAATCTTTGTGACATTGACATATGTCCACTTCCTAAAAATATTAAATAAAAATGGCAATGTTTTAAAAAAATTGATGTACCAAAATATGTGATGGTCTTTTTTTATTTTGTGCCTTGGTGTTCCTTCAGTTTGATATGCGTTATCCAGTGAAAAAATACCGTAGGGGCATTATAATTATGGTCAGAACTGCCAAAGTAGAAATTGAGTTCTTCTAAGGACATATGTCTATATGCCATGGCAGTATTAAAAATCTATACATTGTTCTCACTAATAATACAGTAATTATATGGAACTGTAGAAGAATGCAGCTAGTTCATTCAGACTCATAGAAAGGGAAAAAGGTACTATGCTAACCACATTCCAAGCAGTGCACCTGTTTCCTTAAGACAGTCCTGGTCAGTAGTCACTCTGCTTTTAAGATGAGCAAAATAATGTCCAAGATTAACACAATTACTAAGTGGCTGAGCTAGAGTTGAAACCCTGGTCTTCTTGATGTCAAAGTTCATTTTCTTTCGAGCTGTCCTATTTCCACATAATGCGGCAACTGCCATCACTTCAAAAGAGAGACTTGTCTGAATACTGGGTCTTAAAAAGAGACAGCCTTACTTTACGTAGAAAAAAATTAAAAAGATAAAAATAAAAAAGTACTCTCTTTCATACTTTTAAGTTTCTTCATCCTGGCTTTTGCACCAATGTTTTTTCCATAGTTGTCACTGTGCCAGTTACCAACCCAGATGGCACTGAAGTCCTAAGCTAAAATTTCCAGGTTGCACTGTGTTCTATTAGAACCCCACAGACAGGCATCCTGGCAGGGGGAAAAAACAGTACTGTCAGTCAGAAAGTCTGGATTTCCATCCTGACCATTTAATAATCTCTTATCTTTGGTTCACGAAACTTCTTTAAGCAGAACAATTTGCATATGAAAGACAGAGAAGTTTGGCACTGTTAAAAAGATGAAATTAGGTGTCATTTATAAGCTAAGAGTACAGAATAGGTTTTTTCTGAGTAAAATTTTTAGCAATCTACAAATGCAAGTATAGCTTAACTTTCTGGCCTCAGGGGATTGGTCATGATAAAATTACTGATATATAAAATCTTAAAATACAGTAAAGGAATATAACCATGGCATGTTATGGTACTATAAAAGGTTTCTAACTCCAATATATGATGCCAGCTGTTTATTTTACCCATATATTTTATTATTGTTCAAATATAATTCTCAAGAAAAAAACCTACTACACATTTAAGTAACGTGTTTTCTTAAAAGGCATGTTACATCCTAGGGGTCAGCAAACTTTCTATAAAGGGCTAGATGGTAACTCTTACGCTTTGAGAGCCACATGTGGGTCTCTGGCATATCTGTCTTTGTTTTTTTAACTACTCTCAAAAATGCAAAAATCATTCTTACTTTGGGGACTGTAGACTGCCTATCTCTGTATATCTAAAAGGATCAAAGTAAATGAGAAAGTCAGGAGCTGCCAATTGTGATTATAAATTTTGAATATAAAATAAACAACCTTTTCTGCTTGCTCTTGCAAACTGGTGTACAGTATTATGAATTATCAACAATTTAACATGTAATCTTATATTTGGCTTTTAAAAATTTACAATTCTGGGAAAGAGACAGGAATAAATATTTACTATATACTTACTCTGTGCCAGGCTCCATATAAATTAAACACACACACACACACACACCCCCCCCCCCCGCCAGGTATATAACTATGAAACCTCAAACATCACAACAATTCTGTAAAGTACATGCTGTTATCCTAGTTTACAGATAACAAATTTGAGATGTAGAGAAGTTAGTCCAATTGTCTAATATGGCACACGGGGATTTGTTTCTTCTATTGATAAATAATTAAGAAAACAAATGAATTAAAAGTTAGAACATCAAGATTCTAGCCCTAGGTCTGCTACTTACTATGTGTGTGACCTTATCTGTTTATAAAGTGGGGAGAGGGATAATCCACCCCGTTTACCACAAAACATTTTTGTAAATATCAAATAAGAGATGTGGAAGTTTTTTGTAAACCATATAAGTGTCATAATCATGTAAATAATTAATTTTATTATAGGAAACTTCTTTTGCCTATGAATGACCCATTTCAAAATGTTATATAAATATTTCAGTTAAAACACAATTTCAGACAATTCTTTAGTTAATTAAGGATTTATTAGTTAAAATATTAAAGAAAGACTAGCCTAAAATATTACACATTATCACCTTGGAGGAGAATCATCCTGCTTTTTAAATCCAGGAGGAAGGGCTGGTCCAAAAAACCCATCATCATCATCATCATCCTGATTTTTCCTCTGTTTTCTGAAAACACAGTAGTATAACTTTATGCATATATGTCAACATTGTTTTCACAAAAACACATTTGAAACATTAAATCTAGTTGTATAAATACTACAACAATAAATTAATCTTGCCAAATAAAAACTGGATACCACAATAGTTCTTTGTGTTTTTTTTTTATTTTTTATTTTTTGAGAGAAGTGTTGCTCTGTTGCCCAGGTTGGAGTGCAGTGGCATGATCTTGGCTCACTGCAACCTCCACCTCCCGGGTTCAAGTGATTCTCCTGCCTTAGCCTTCCAAGTAGCTGGGATTATAGGCACGCATCACCATGCCTGGCTAATTTTTGTATTTTTAGTAAAGACAGGGTTTCGTCACGTTGGCCAGGCTGGTCTTGAACTTCTGACCTCAAGTGATCTGTCCACCCTGGCCTCCCAAAGTTGCTGGGATTACAGGCATGAACCACCACACCAGGCCTACTACAGTAACAATAGTTCTTAACTAATCTTTTCCTGGAATTTATTTTTGGCCTAAAATACAGATTGGTTATTTCTTTACAGCAGTAATATATCACTATTCTATATTTTCTGTGGTATTAAAGATTCCCTTAATGAAGTTGCCAAGTCTACTAGTCAGATGTTTCTCAGTAAAAAGTTTATGACTGTGACTTTTATTCTCATTTAAGAAAGGGTTTTAAGTTGTTATTTCCACCTGATAATATTTAAAATGAATCAAAAAAGCTTGCTACCCAATAATAAACAAAGATTTGACTTCTTACTAGACCCATAGTGGGTAAGGCTAGATTAAAAGAAAATCATTCAGCTGAGTGAGGTGGATCATGCCTGTAATCCCAGCACTTTTGGAGGCTGAGGCAGGTGGATCACTTGGGATCAGGAGTTTGAGACCAGCCTGGCCAACACGGTGAAACTCTGTCTCTACTAAAAAACACAAAAATTAGCCAGGTGTGGTGGCATGCGACTGTATACCAGCTACTCGGGAAGCTGAGACAGGAAAATCACTTGAACTCAGAAGGCAGAGACTACAGTGAGCCGAAATCACACCACTGCACTCTAGCCTGGGTGACAAAGTGAGGCTTTGTCTCAAAAAAAAAAAAAAAGAAGAAGAAAATATTAGTTTATTTAAAGGAAATATACACTGCATATATAATTTTAAGAAGAAATTCTATGGTTTATGTAGCCTATTTCGTCAATTCAATGACATCTTAAGAAAAATCCTGCCAGGTGCAGTGGCTCATGCCTGTAATCCCAACACTTTGGGAGGCCAAGGCAGGCGGATCATGAGGTCAGGAGATCGAGACCATCCTGGCTAGCCCAGTGAAACCCCATCTCTACTAAAAATACAAAAAATTAGCTGGGTGTGGTGGCGTGCACCTGTACCCACCCCGGCCAGCTACTTGGGAGGCTGAGGCAGGAGAATCACTTGAACCCAGGAGGCAGAGCTTGCAGTGAGCCAAGGTCGTGCCACCGCACTCCAGCCTGGGCGACAGAGCGAGACTCCAACTCAAAAAAAAAAAAAAAAAAAAAAAAAAAAAGAAAAATCCTTTACATAAGAATTTTATTGGCTGGTGTGGTAGCTCATGCTTATTATCCCAGCACTTTGTGAGGCTGAGGTGAGCGGATCACTTGAGTCCAGGAGTTTGAGACTAGCCTGGGCAACATGGCGAAACCCTACCTCTACACAAAAAATGCGAAAATAATCTGCAAAAAATACAAAAATTAGCTGGGCAAGGTAGTGCACACCTGTGGTCCCAGCTCAGGAGGCTGAGGTGGGAGGATCGCTTGAGCTCGGGAGGCAGAGGCTGCAGTAAGCCAAGATAGTGCCACTTCACTACAGTGTGTGTGACACAGTGAGACCCTGTCTCAGGAAAAAAAAAAAAAATTGAAATTCTAGATATCTCTATAGCTGCACACTACTAGAATAAACTTCCTTGTAAAAGGTGTAGTTCAGGGTGAAATGCCATAAAAAATGATTTCTTCCGGTGCTGTGTAAACAGAATATATCTCCTTACTAGCTATCTGTTTCAGCCAGCTTATACCAACTCTGAAGTTTGGCCTATCATTTAATTTAATTAAATGACTGACCTTGCAGTTGGACCAGTGTCATCTTCTTCAGATTCTTGATTTCCTTCTTCGTACAAAGAACTACTGTCTTCATCGCTGTCTGATGAATCGGAACTACTGCTTTTGTAATTAGGGGGCAGAGCTGGTCCTGCAACTAAAGATTTGTTGTGTGTTATAACTAGCCACTACTGTTTCAAAGAACCCTTCTAGCTGACATTTTCACTTTCTTTTCTGAAATAAACAGCACTGGCTGTCTATCATTTATTATTCACTTTAATCTCACTTGCTGTTGTTTGTGTAGTGATTTTGTCTTTTCAACTCTAGGAAGGCAGAAATCATGTCTTACACAATCTCTTTTTACGAGATTCACAAAAACTTTGTTAATATCTGAACTTAGAAACCTGAACTTATAGATATAACAATAGCATGTCATTTCTTTGATAACATGCAGTTTTTGCATTGGTTGGTGTACCTGCCAAAAAAAAAAAAAAAAAAAAAAAACAGGCTTCATGATTTTTTTTGTTGTTGTTGTTACAGTTTATGGTAGAAACAGTACTTCAAAAAAAATCTTTCCTGGCATCTCCACATTTCTTGGTTCATTTTCTTTTTGAGATGATTTTTCAAGCAGAAACAAAATTAGAGTCACTCTAAGTTTTACTGCTTGCTAATAGAGATACAGGGAAGAGAATGAAGCTGCATTGTAATGGGGAAGTTAGGGAGAGTGGTGGTAGGGGTATTCTAGGCCCACCTGTCAGAATGACTTGCTCTCACTTTAAATCTCAGCAAAATTACAAATTACTGCATGGTGTCACTGCAGTGTTATGATGTCACTGATCATGTCATACAGACACTATTTTCCAGGTTGATCCTAAGTAATGATGCTAAAAGACTACCATCATAGTTCCCAAGTTTGGATATTTATCAGACTCCCTAAAATATATTTTTAAAAAAGATTCATGGGCCCTTTTCTCTGATATTCTGACTCAGTTGGCCTGGAGGAGGGCCTGGAAATATGATTTTCCATAGAGCATACTGGGTATGCCATTTATTCAATATTATAATAATAGTAACAAAAACTTAAATGTAATAAATAAAAAACAAATAACATGGTTTGAGTTATTAGGATTTATAAATTGTTTTAAGAGATATGTGCATTAACCTATTTAATTCTGATAACAATCCTATGAGGGAGGTATTATAATTATTTCTATTTTACAGATAAAGAAACTGAGGCAGAGAATTAAGTGACTTGCCTAACTTCACACAACTAAATAGTAGGGCTGGGATATGAACCCAGGAGTCTGATTTCAAAGCCTAGATCCCTAACCATTATACTAGCCAATATTCAACAGTCAGCAACCATCCATCCAACAACAGTTATTAAGTAAATACTTCTAGAGAAACAAACATAAAAAGAATTAAGATCAATTCAGGTAGTGTAAGTGCTGCTATGAAAATAGGAAAAAGGTGACACTGTATATGTGGGAGGGTAACTTTAAAGATAGTGGTAAGGCAAAAATCTCTCTGAGAAAAAGACATTTGAATGGAGATTTAAATGATGAGATGACAGAGGCCATGGACAGAGGAGCAGCCAGTGCAAAACTCCTATGCAGAGAGCAAGTATGATGTGCTCGAGAGACAAAAAGGCCAGTGTGGCTAAAGAGAAGCAAAATGACAAGATCAAGTTGGATGGTATAAAGGGGCCAGATTCTATGCTTTGGAGTCAGACTCTACGCTTTGAATTCCAGGTTGGCCACTTACTAGCTGTATGATTTAGATGAGTTACTTAACCTCCCTATGTTACACTCTTGCTTTATAAAATGAGGTTAATAATAGTTTCAACCTCACAGGACTGTTGTGAAGATTACATCAGTTAATATATGCAAAGCACCTAACAAAGTCTTTGGCATATAGTAAGCGCTCAATAAATGCTAGTATAGGCTATAATAAGGAGTATGGGCTTCCCTTTCCCATTCCATTTTCTGTTCCCTTTCCCTAACAGGCAAGGTCTCACTGTGTTGTCCAGGCTGGAGTGCAGTGGCTATTCACAGGTGTGATGCCACTGCCGATCAGCACAAGAGTTTTCACATACTTTGTTTCTGATCTGGGCTGGTTCACCCCTTCTTAGGCAATCTGGTCCTTCGCTCCCAGGAGGTCACCATACTGATACTGAACTTAGTGTGGACACCATACTGCATAGTGCACTATAGCCCAGAACTCCTGGACAAGTGATCCTGCTGCCTCAGCTTTCTGAGTACCTGGGAGTACATGCATGCACCACCACATCCAGCAGGAGTTTGGATTTTTAATTACAGCAGGCAGTCATTGGGAGGTTGTGTGTCAGGAGAGACATGATATAAATTATCTAAAACAAAACAAAACAAACAAATGAACAAAACGGTCTGCTTGTGGACAATAAAGAGAGATCAGCAACAGGGGATATGCATTAGAAAGCTGATAAAAAATGGTTTGGGCCAGGTGCAGTGGCTCACTCCCATAATCCCAGCACTTTGGGAGGCCGAGGCGGGCAGATCACCCAAGGTCAGGAGTTCGAGATCAGCCTGGGCAACATAGTGAAACCCTGTCTCTACCAAAAAAAAAAAAATATTAGCTGGGCATAGTGGTGTGTGCCCGTAATCACAACTACTCGGGAGGCTGGGACAGAATTGCTTGAACCTCGGCAGTGGAGACTGCTGTGAGCTGAGATCAATGTGGATATGGTGGTGATAGTTGTTCAACCATGTGATGTATTTAATGCCACTGAATTGTACATTTAAAGATGGTTAAGATGGTAAATTTCATGTTATGTGTATTTAATTATAATTTTTAAAAACTGAAAAAAAAAAAAAAAAGAAAGAAAGAGGCTGGGCACAGGGGCTCACACTCCAGCACTTTGGGAGGCTGAGGCAGGTAGATCACTTGAGCCCAGGAGTTCGAGACTAGCCTGGCCAACACGGTGAAACCCTGTCTCTACTAAAGACACAAAAATTAGCCAGGTGTGGTGGTGTATACCTGTAATCTCAGCTACTTGGGAGGCTGAGGCAGGAGAATCACTTGAACCAGGAGGCAGAGATTGCAGTGAGCTGAGATCATGCCACTGCACTTCAGCTTGGGCAACAGTGAGACTCTGTTTCGAAAAAAAAAAAAAAAATCCCCTTCCCAGCCAGCCATCAGGTTTCTTCCAGACTCCATACAAAGGACTGTGGTTAACTACATTCATGCAGGTCCTGGCTTCCCCAGCCCCCATAAATCCTGGGCCCCTCTTAAGGAATTTTGTTTTTGAGACAGGTCTTGTTCCAACACTCAGGTTGGAATGCAGTGGCGTGATCACAGCTCACTGCAACTTCAAACTCCTGGGCTAAAGCAATCCTCTTGCCTCAGCCTCCTGAGTAGTTGAGACTGCATGTGCATGCTACCATGCCTGGCTAATTCTTAAGCTTTTAGTAGAGATGAGGTCTTACTATGTTGCCTAGGTTGTTTTTGAAGTCCTGGGCTCAAGTGATCCTCCCACCTTAGCCTTCCAAAGTGCTGCGATTTAGGCATGCGCTACTGTGCCTGGCCAGGAATTTTTACTCTGTCCTCTACTTGGCCAAAAGGAATCTACTGAGTACCCACTTTGTGCTGGGTACCCTGCTAGTATTGGGAATTACAGAGGCTTGGGAGGTGGTTCCTTTCCTGATGGTTTAGTGGGGCAAACCAGCAAGCAATCCAGCACAATAACTGCAGATAGAGAAAACCACATGTACTCCCATCCTTCACCACAAACACTGTGGTCCTGGCACCAGCAGGACCAGCAGCAGCAGCTGGGAGCTTGTCAGAAATGCAGAATTGCAGGTCTCACCCAGATCACCTGAATAAGAGTTGGCATCTTAACAAGATCTCTGGGTAATCCATGTACATGTTCAAGTTTATGATGCACTCCTACAGAAGACAGAAATAGGGTGACCAACTGTGCTGGTTTGCCTGGGATTGAAGGGCTTCTTGGGATATGGGATTTTTAGTGTTAAAACTGGGACAGTCCCAGGGACTGAGGGGTTAACTTAGTCTTTGTTTCTGAACTTGGAATACATTAAAATCCTGAAAGGGGAGGAAAGAAGAGAAAGAGGCTGGGTAGGACATTGAAATCTTTTTTTTTTTTTAGAAGTTCATATCCTGTTTTAAAGATTCTGATAGGAACTTTTATTGGGAATCATTAAACAAAGATGTTAGATAAGCATCTAAGTTTTTATATAAAAACTTTCACCCTATGGGTGGGAATATCATCACTGAAAGAAGAGAACAGCGTATTAAAAAAGAGGGCTTGGGAGACAGCTTTGAGAATCTTTAACACCTGAAGGTTTAATAGAAGATAAACTATTTAAGGAGATGAAGAGGAGCTGCCCGAAGAGAAGACAGAAATGAGGAGTATGGTATCGCAGAAACAGAAAGAAGGGGGGGTGTGTGTGTGTTTATGTGTTTAAAGATAGGGTCTTGCTCTGTGGCCCAGGCTGGAGTGCAGGGGCATGATCCTATATCACTGTAGCCTTGCCCTCCTGTGCTTAATTTATCCTCCCATTTCAACCTCCCCAGTAGCTGGGACTACAGGTGCGCACTACCACGCCTGGCTAATTTTTAAATTTTTTAGTAGAGATGTGGTCTTGCTATGTTGCCCAGGCTGGTCTCAAACTTCTGGGCTCAAGTGATCCTCCCACATCATCCTCCCAAAATGCTAGGATTTATAGGTGTGAGCTACCATGCCCAGCCGCATGAGAGTTTTAAAAGGAGTAGGTAATATTAAAATACTGTTAAGCATCAAGTAAGAGAAAGACTGAAAAAGTTCCATTTGATTTAGCAGCATGGAAGGATCTATATACATATTACCTGTGAATACAAATGCAAAAAACAAAAACAAAACTAAACCTTCAATGACATCTGTTGCTCTTGGAATAGAGACCAAGGTCCTTCACATGGTCTCTCCAGTCCTTATTTGCGGTCCTGCCAGAATGTGGCCATCCAGGCAGCAGCGATCTCATCTACCCCTCCCTCACTTTCACTGCTTCTGTTACCTGGTCTTCTCTTGTTGCTGCTGTCCACCATGTCCCATCCTACCTTAAAGTCTTCATACATGTTGTTCCCTCAGTTTGAGTACTCCCTCCCATCCCTCAGTTTCATTCA